ATTTCGCTACATGTGTTCGGACATGTGGGGATAATGTTAAGACGTACATATATGTGTATATATACAGACATAAGTACATATATGTATATGTACATGTATGTATATATATATGTATATATGTATATATATATGTAGATGTACACATATATATATATATCATATATATATATACATGTATATGCATACATATGTATATATATATGTATATGTACATATATATATATATATACCATGACTGACGTTTACTCCATTTTGATGAGTTTACTCCGTTTTGATGAGTTTACTCCATTATGATGAATGTCCTCCGTTTTGATGAGTTTACTCAATTTTGATTAAGATCATGTTGCATAAACGAATTACTCCAAATTTTGGAGGATCCGATGCTCTGGGTTCTGAATGCGGGGACAGGCTTGAAGGGGGGGTGGTGCTTAGCAGCTCCGGGCCCCTGCTGAAGGCGCGAACTGGCATCGCGCCGCAATGGCTCGGCGCTGCCGGCCGCGCCCGCACAAATGCAGGCCTCGAGCGCGCAGCCAGAGGTCGAGATGGATGCTGAAGCCGATGATGCGGGGCGCGGGCTCGTCGTCGTCGCTGTTGCGGTGGAGCTCGGCGCAATCCCCCATGCAACTGGCGGCCCGGTCCAACTTGCCGTCGCCCCTGAGAAGCAAGGGCTCGCCGGCGCTTGCAGTCGGGGCCCGCCCGCTTCACTTCTCGGGGCGAGCGACAGTCGATAACTCGCAGGGGCTCCGGGCGACGCGATTCCACCGCGCCCCCTGCCCCCAGACCGACACGGCGACGCCAGCGCGGGTCTTCCACGGGGCCTCCGCAGCCGCCGCCAGCTTGACCGGGTCGCACAGGTCGGCGCGCGCGACGCCGTCATCGATGAGACTGCCGCGGCAATGGTTGCAGGCGGCGCCGACGTTCGACGGCAGAATGAGCGAGCCCCCCAGTTTCTTCAAGCTGTGATTCTTCCAGCATTCATCGGGCCGTTTGTTCCAGTCTCCGAGGGCGACCCACGCGCCAGCGATCAAGCGCAGGCAGCATGCCAGTCGAACATGCGCGCGCTCGCCGGGGCCTCTGAACCCGAACGCGGGCTGCAAGCAAGCAGCCGCGACCGCGATGTCCCTGGCCTCGGCGCGCCGGGTCGCAGGGCAGAACCCTTCGAACGGGCCCTTGTCGGACTTCGCCTTCTCGGCCTGCCGCTGGCTCTGGAGTGGCGCGGCGGCGAGCGTCTTCTCGCGAAGGATGGCCCCCCCGCCTGCGCTGACCGACTGCGCGCGACTGCTCGGCGCAGAGGGGGTAGCCGTAGTCGCCCAGCCACCCTTGGACATGTTCAGTATCATGTGCATGAAGCGCTCGTCGCGGATGGGTCTCAGAGAAGCCTGGCACGTGGCCCTGCTCAGCTCGGGCCCTCATGGAACTCTCCGAACGCCGGCCCCAGTCGGAGACGCTGGCAAAGAATAATGACAATAATAACAATAAGAAGAAGCGGCCGTCCTGGCTAGGAGCCAGATGCCCGCCCGCCGCCGCGGCCGCCAGCTTCGCCTTTCCCACCGGCGGTGCCGCGCCCCGCGGCTAGCATCGGCTGCGCCAGGCACAGGCCATACATCAGCCCCTGCATCGCGCTGCTCGGCGCGCTCCTCGGCCGCCGCGCCCGCGTCGGCGACGCGAACCTTGGCGGCCTCCTTGCGCTGGGCGGCCTTGGCGGCGTCGGCGGAGCCCGAGGCGGGGCCAGCGGTAGCTGCCGTTGGGCCGCCCTCTGCGGGGGCCGCCGCGCTGGCCGCCTCGACGGCGCCGGGCCCAGCGCGGGCGGCGCCGTCTGCGCAGCCGCTTGGCGGGGGCCGAGTGGATCTCCTGGTCGGCGGTGTGGGGCGCGGCATGCAACGCCTCCTGGAGCGCCTCGACCTGCTGGACATGAGCGCCCATCTTGGTCCAGAGGTCGCAGAGAGTCATCTGCTGGCCTTCGATGTATACACTCTTCCAGATTGTCGGTGAAGTCGGCCTCCTTGATCGCGAGCAGAATCGTGTTGCCGTCAGCGGTGTGCCCCTCGGGCGGGGCGGCGGAAGCGGGGCCCTTGCCGACGGGAACGGACAAGGCCTCGATCGCCCTCTCCTCGGCCGCGCGGGCCAAGATGGCTTCCTTGATGGCCACCAGCACTTCGTCCTTCGCCCTGGCGAGGACCGCCTCAACGGCGACCTGCGCATCAGAGGCCCGACGGAGAACGATATGTTCTTTCTTCTGGACATTCTGCGCATCGTAGTTGGCCTCCTGATGCGGAGCGCGTTGCTTGACACAGGCTGGCCGCGCAGGTGTTTTCCATTTCCCTGATGGCCTGGAACGAGCCTTCGAACACAAGGTTGGCAGTAAGCAACTGGATCATGCGGACAGGGTCCACGGGCTGCACGTCCTTGGCCCACGGAGGCTTCTTCTTGGACGGAAGGCCACCACCACCCATTTTTGAGGAGGCCGCACACTTGCCATCGTTTGCAGTGGTACGAAAGTTGTGCGCCCGATTGCCACACGTCGTGCAACACGAAAGGCCGATTGCGCCCCATGCCGCGGTGGTGTGAACGACAACTGCAGGGAATCCCCGACAGGGTGCGAACTCGCTGGAACAATCCGCGGAGTAGCTGTATCTACTTTGCCCCTAGAGAAGACAACATCTTGAGCCAGAATGGCTACGGAAGGAAGGAGAGGAGGAGGACGGGGAGGAGGAGGAAATGTGTATCGTCGTCTGGAGAATTGCTGTTGGGCGTATCGTGATGCCTGTCAGCGCTCTCGTCGGGAAACAACGCTTGGCCGTGCCAGAACGCCCGCCCGGACGCAAGGCTGGAAGGCCACTGTTTATGTCAGCCTGTCTGTCTGTCTGTCCGTCTGTCTGTTTGTCCGTCTGTCTGTCTGTGTGCAGCCTCCGTTGCCGGAATCGGATTGCCTCCGCTACGATCCGCTGCGATCCGCCTGTGTTCTCCTGCCGAACTTCCTCTCCCAGCAGGCGTGGCGGAATTTCTTCGGACAGCCCCCGGCGCCCCCTCGGAATTCCCACTCAACTCGATAGAGCCAGCCACAACCACAAAGAAATCTCCGAACCTCCTCCTCCTCCTCCTCCTCCGCCGCCTCCTCTCCCTTCTCCTCCTCCCCCTGCGTCCTCACCCCCTTTCTCCCCCCGTTCATCCCTGCTCTACCATCTCTCCTAGGTACCTCCCCTTCCTCCTCATCCTCTTCGTCCTCGTCCTGTTATCCTCCCGTTGCTCTTACTCCGTCCTCCTCTGCCATCCCTCCCCCTTCGACTCCCGTCTTACTCGTTCCGTCCTTCCTTCATTTCCTCCGCCCTTCCTCTTCGTGTCGCTCTTGCTCCGTCCTCCTCCCCCCCTCCTCTTGACCTTCCCCCCGCAACGATGCGTCGCAGGGCGGGGACCGCCTTGAAGAGCTTCTTGATGTGGAACTCGCTCACCTCCCCTCTCCTCTGAAGCGCAAGGCGCGGTCGAGCACCAGGGCAGGAGTACACCGACTGCACGCCTGCACCGATCCTGTCAAGGCCCGTCTTCCAGCCCAGGATCGGTCGGTGCATGCGCCCCTCCCCCCCTCGGCCTTGCCAGGACGGCAGATGCAGGCCAGGATTGGCCTGGCCAGGACCAGTGCAGGCGCATGCATGGCTAGCGTCCTCCGGCTGGGTGTGGGGGAGTGCGAGGAGGGGGGGGCGGGCGCAGGGGGGAAAAGGGAAGAGGGTGGGGGAGCCTCGAGGGCACCGGGGACGGGTGGGGGAAGGGGGGGAGCGGGAAGTGGGGGGCGGGGAAGGGGGGAGGGGGAGATGGGAGGGGGAGAGGCACTGGGGACGGGGTGGGGGCGGGGAAGCGAGGATGGGGGAGAGGGGAAGGGGAGAGAGGGTGAGGAGGGGCAGGGGGACAGGGAGGAGGAGGACAGGGGGGAGGAGGAGGAGGAGGAGGAGGAGGAGGAGGAGGAGGAGGAGGAGGAGGAGGAGGAGGAGGAGGAGGAGGAGGAGGAGGATAATTCCAAGGAGACTTCCAGCATGGATGGCAGCGGGAGTCATGAGGCAGAGGACTACTCGGCAAGTGTGGAAAGCTCGCCCTCCACCGCGTGCTTTGCTGGGCCGCTCACGTTCTGGGTAAAGGCCCCTGTGAATTCTCGCGAGATTCTGGGCACCTTTCGGGGAGGGCGTGCACCGTCGGACGAGCCAACGTGGGTCCGCGGTAGCCGACTTGCCACAAACCAAGCAAAACGTGAGACCGTACAGCCCCCAGAACTGAAGCCTGTGGGAGCTGTGCAACAAGCTACCCGCGACCATCTGTGGGCCGTTGAGGGGGGAAATGCCGGTCCCCGCAGGGCGGGGCCGACGCTGGCTGAGGGCCCCCGCACGACTTGACTCACGTGTTTCGTACTGAGAACACAGCCTGCAGAAATACTGACACCCGGCCCTGCGCCATTCGTGGGCGCTGGCACGGATGGCCCCGGCCGGGACAGAAACCGCTGCCTGAAGAAGGCGGCCGCGGGTCGACTCGCTGTCCAGGGATAGGCTACAGCCAGAGCCCTCCTCCCCCTCCGTCGGATGAGGGCCGCCTCTGCATCAACACGGTCGGTGTCGGGGATGGGGCCCGCACGGCACTCAGCGTTGGAGCCCGCCTGGGCCTTTCCCCGCTGAGACATCAGCGCATTCATTACCTACCACGACCTGGAGGTCACGATCGTTTTTAGTTTGGTCCACGGCTACGTGTGAGGGGACCCAAACTACCTGAATCTCTCTGCCCTCCGATGCGGCCGCAACCCTGGTCCCAGGGTCAGAGTTGGTCGGGCCCCCCCGCACGTGCAAACGAACTCCTTTGGACCAGACTTGGGAACAGGGGTGACGATCAGTGCAGAAACGCAGCTTACCAGGCACCCTCTCGAGGGCGGCGGCGAACGCGGAAAAAGCTCGGCTCGAGGAGCGGTCTGGGCCCGACCCGCCGAGGAAGATGAGAAACCGAAGACGGAGCCGAGGGCGCGGTCACCGTTCCCGAGGGCAACACAAGCAGCGCCCACTCGACGTCGGCGGCGATCGTCGCTGCACTCGCCGCCAGAGCCATCTCCGAAAACCTCACGAAAACCGAGCTCATCAACTGGGACCGGCTCCAGCTCTCGAAACTTAGCGACGACGGCTTCTCCCCCATCGCATGCAGGGGCAGCTGCGGCAGACGGCGGGAGGCCGCGGAGCCACAGCGCAGGCGACGCTTCGTGGTTCGCCATCGCCGTGCACGTGAGGCGGTCGCTGTCCGCGACGTCCTCGTGGTCGGCGCTGTGCCGACGCGCCCACACGCGGCGGAACGGCGTCTGCGCGCGGTGCCCGCGCCTCGGGCAGGCCAGGTCGACCTCGTACCCTGCAGCACGCATGCGACTGCGAGACCACTGCCCGCCAGTGCAGACCACGCGGTGGAGCGCCACCTGGTCGAACTCGCCTAGCTCGGTGAGGCGGTCCATCTCTCGACGGATGAGGTAGACATGCGCCCCGCTGTGGAGGTCGTCGCCAGCCTCGCGCTTGGACGCCTGCTCCCACGGGATGCGGTCGATGGAGTCCGGAATGTCCGTGATGATCATCGTGTAGTCACCGTTTATGTCCGCGATGCTGGGGTCGGACGCCGACGGGCCGACGGGATGAGCCAGCTCTTTGCCCGCGTCCGTGTCCCACTGGGTGGCCTCCACGGGGTCCCGATGCAGCTCGAACAGCGTGGCGATAGTGGCACCGACTGGGCCCTTCACCAGGCGCCACCTGCGCTGCCCCGCAGCGCGAAGCCGCTCGGCCCAGCCGTGCCGCACCTTGCAGATGCGCGGGTGCAGTTCGGGACAAGGGCGCCATGGGGGTAAGGCAGGAGCTGATCTGCTCTCTGCGGATGCTCATCGCGGGGTGGTCCTCGCCGCACGCGATGGCGAGGGTGGTGGTGAGACACCGTCCTGGTCCCGCGCCTGCCGCAGCGCGCCCCGCTTGGCGTCGGAGCCTCACCATTTCGTATGCCGGCACACCGTAGTGCTGGTGACCGTAGGTACCTTGAGGGAGCGAACCTGTGCTCCACAGCCCGCGGGAGATCCTCTGCAGTCGAGCACCCCTGCGAACCTTCTTGATGGCTGCCGCTCTCTTAGCCGCCTGTGCCATGCGCCGCCGACACTTCCGACTTGAGCGGGCACGACCTGAGGCCACGTCGGCACCCAGGTCGGTCGTCGTAGTGGCGGCGGTGGCGGGGATGCCCTGCTTCCTCAGGCCGCTGACGATGCGGTGCGTGAGCTTTCTGGAGGAGGTGACGACGACGGTCGTGGGGCTAATCGTGAGGCCAACGTCTTGCATGGCCTGCCCGAGGAACGCGCCAGCAGAGATGAGCGTCTTCTCCACGTTGTCATCGGTACCCTCCGACCTGATGATGGCATCGTCCACGAAGGTACAAGTTTTAGCTGGGACACGGCGCGGCTCTGGATCGGCCTCACCGACCACTGGGGCGGATGGAGCAGTGCAGAGGTGTCCATCAAGTTTTAGTTGGGACGCGGCGCGGCTTTCAATAGGTGGCGCAACGCGTCCGCAGGACTGGACCCCTCAGAGTGTGAGGGCTCGCCGCCACGCCTCACGAAGAAACGAAGACCAAGAGAGCGATATTCCCGGCTGGAGTGTTGCATCCCAAGGCTCTGCAGTTCCGGCCGGGGATTAACCCAATTTGTTTACGTGACTCCGCTGCTCGGCGGCCGAACAGCTCTGGTTGTCCCCCAGGACCGCGCGCGAGGCTCGAGGCAGGGCGTAGGTCAACCCAGGCAGATCTCCTGGGCAGGTCATCAGAGCGAAGCTGCTCACAATTGTGGCATCGAAGTGCCGGCAAGGGCTTCCAGGTCTTCGGGTGAAACCCTCAAGCAGCATACCCTCATCTTCGAAGACTGACCGCTGCGGGTGCTGCAATGGTCTCTGCGCCCACGCCGCACTGGTCACTCAGACGACGCCAACTCCCTCCAGGCATGATACCACATGCGGAGCGCATAATACCGTCTGAGCCTTCTGCTCCACAGCAATGCCATGGTTCACGGATGCGCGGAAAGGGCCTCCTCTTGGGGCGGCGCAGGCACTTCGACGGGCCCTTGGACCTCATTCGCCTCGAGCATTGCTGCCTGCATCGCCTCGCTGGCTACAGGAGTTCCCACAGCACCATGGAGGGCGAAGAGAAGGAGGAGGAGGAGGAGAAATAAGACTGGCTGACTGACTGACGCGCCCCTAGCACGCCAGGATCCCAGAACTGGACTACAGTCATATTAAGTCCCACATCACGCACATTCCTTATCAGACGCGAGCGTTGAATAGTGAAACTATTTCTTTCGCCGGAACCCAAACAAGGTCTGAGGGTCACGGGTGGCCTGAGTGTTGAATCTGCGGCCTTAGAGGAGAACGAGGAGCAAGAAGGGAAGGACAAAGAGAAACGGAGTAAGGGGGAGGATAAGAAGGATGAGGACATGAGCAGCGATGGCGGCGGCGACGAGCAGGAGGGCAAACGGCGAGAGACAGAAGGGACCGGGCAGACGGGGGATGGGATGAGGGAGAAGGCTCAGGATCTTCAGGAGGATCAGGACGACGAAGACGACAGCGACGACGGCGACGCGGGCAACGGTGATGCTGAAGCTGTCGATGTTGACGACGTTGGCGGCGACGACGACGACGGCATCCGAAAGCTCCGAAATCTCTTGAAGCCCCTGCAGGAGCCCGACAGCATCTGGAGGCCGAAACACCAGCGAAACGTCCAAAGATCGGTGGACGCAAGAAGAGCGGATAGCCCAGGGGCGGATAGTCCGGAAAGCCTCGCCGAAGACCTGGGCGATCGAATCCCCTGGAAAGTGTGGCGCTCCCCCCTGGGCCAACAGACGACGACGACGACGACGACGACGACGACGACGACGACGACGACGACGGCGACAAGCCCTCCGCGCCGCCTCGTGCTGGACGACGACGACGACGGCGACGGAGACGGCGGCGGCGAGCACGACAAGCCCTCCGCGTCGCCTCGTGCTGGCTCAGCCGCAGCACCTCCCTGAAGAAGCGGCTGAGCCTGGCTGCCCCCAGCGCAGCCAGGGGGGTGGGGGGGCGAGGGGCCTCCTCCTCCTCTCCTCCGCATCCCTCCCCCCTCCCCCTTCTCCCTCCCGCCTCCGCTGCGCTCCTCCCCATCCATCCCTCCCGCCGTCCCTCCTCTCCTCCTCCTCCTCCTCCTCCTCCTTCGCCTCCTGCTCCTCACTCCTTCCCCCCTCCTCCCTCAGCGCGCGCACGGGGGCAAGGAGGGAGGAGGAGGAGGAGGAGGAGGAGGAGGAGCAGGAGCAGGAGGAACAGGAGCAGGAGCAGGAGCAGGAGGAGAAGGATTCAGGGAGGAGGAGGAGGAGGAGGAGGAGGAGGAGGAGGAGCAGGAGCAGGAGGAGGAGGACGCGGAGGCGGAGGCGGAGGAGGATTCAGGAATAGGAATAGGAATAACCCTGGGGCGCCGCACCGTCCATCCAGCCTGCCAGGAGGTCGCCTAGGTTCTACTACTGTAGGCCGAGAGTGCCGCCTGCGCGCTGGCCAGCGCCACGGTGGGGTTGGCTCGGGCCCAGTGGCGCGCCCAATGGCGCGCAGCCAAGCGGCTGCCACCATCAGCACCGTCCTCAGGGAAGCTCTTGCCTGAGCGACGCACACACGAAAGAGGGGAGGAGCAGAGCGCCAGGCGCCATGCCCCACCCCCCCGAGGGACGAGGAGGAAGCACCGCCCGAAGCACCCTCAAGGCAGAGGGGCCAGCGGCCCACCCCTACCTCGTGAGCGGCCTCGAGCAGCGCCCTTTCCCCGCCCCTTAGCCCCCCCTGCCGCGGTAGACAGGGGGTCGAACATTTAGTGCAACAGCTGGCCCCATTTCAGAGGCATTCTGGATCGTGTACATAAGGGGGGGAGGCTCGGAAGGGGGCTCCAGGCCAGGAGGAGGAGGAATGGGGCGAGGTAAAAGCAGAACAGGAGCAGGCGGAGCAGCTAAGCCTCGGACACGACGAGCCGCATCCTCAGAAAGAAGACCTGCACGCAGAAGACCGCGCACACGGTCGCTCTGGCTCCAGTCGAAGCCGCTGGAATAGCTACGAACACCACTCACCTGACTACGTCCAGCAGCCGCTGCGCCTCTCTCACGAGCACCCCGCGAGGCGCTCCTCCTATCGTCTTGGTGCCGCCCTCGGCGCGGAGCGTCGCCCTGATCGCCTTCAGCAGCCCGATCGCTTCTGGAAGCTCTCCAGCCAGCAGGAACTGCACCTTCACCATGTCCTCGCCCTCGGGAGACTTGGTCTTGACCCTCTTGGCTTTGCAAAAGCGGATCATGTCCGCCAGCTCCTCGGGATCCGTGATCTTCATCACGGTCTGCACCCAGAAGGCGTGGGCCGCCTTCCTGTCCTCCGCCAAGAGCGTGTCCCCCTCGGGCTTTGTCGCAGCCCCCTGCACCAGCGCCGTGAAGACACGAAGGTGGGGCGCGCACAACTTCTTCTTCGTGTAGGTCGGGTCCTGCTTCTCCTTCTCGCGCTCCTCCTGCGCCTCCGAGTTGAAGGCCTGGTTCTCCTCGAGAGGAGGATTCAGGGAGGAGGAGGAGGAGGAGGAGGAGGAGGAGTAGGAGGAGGAGGAGGAGGAGGAGTTGTAGAAGGAGGGAGGAGCAGGAGGGGGAAGGAGGAGGGAAGGAGGAGGGAAGGAGGAGGAGGGAGAAGGACGAGGACACGGAGGAGATGGTGGATGGACGGACAAGGATACTGAGGATGTGGCATATGATATGAGAGGGCAACAAAGAAGACACGATGAAAAATGGGCCAAACAGGAAGGCGGGGGGGGACAACGACGAATGAGACATTGGGAGATTGAGGCTGAGTGGGGGGGGCCAGAACTCCGGCGACTTGTTTTTTCACAACGCGGTGCCGGAGAGATCTGGAGCCCTCCCCTGGGATCGGTTCTCCATGCCGAATCGTCTTTTGACGGTCCCGGGGCCTGGCGAGGGCCCCGAGAGGCCACAAATTGTTAAACCGCTGGTTTCTCTCACGACGAAAGGAGAGTGGAGGGGGGGGGCAGTTTCAGGGCAAGCCGCCCCGCTCGTAGACCGACATGTTGTTGTCGTTGTCTAGATCCGACTTGGCGAAGAGCTCCCTGCGGCCGCAAGCCGTGGTCGTCCGAAAGCCAACTCCCCCAGAGTGGGTTGAGGGAGGGAAGGGAGGGAGGCAACAGAGATGGAGAAACCAGCGCGCAGATTGAATGATGAGTTCGACTGTTTCTGTCCGCCTAGCTGGGCAGGGCCTCCCTGTGCTCGTTGACGATTTGGGCCAGGGGCAATGGGGGTCGACAAATTACCAGCGAGCCTGCAATTCCTTCAAGGTGTCTACCGTCCAAAGCACGCTGCACAGTTAACCCGTATGATAAGGACGTAGGATAAAGATGCAAGGGCCTTGGAAGGCCATGTCGGCACTTTGCGAGCGGGGCGTGGCCAACGAAAGCGGCCAAGGATAGGCCGAATGAGAAAAATGCAAAGATGACCTTGGAGCATCGTTCATTCTTACTATGCGGGTTGACTCTAACTGGAAGGGCCTGCCGTTAGGGCACACCCTCGGACAGCAGTCCGTGTGAAAGCCTCGGGAATCATATTCGCTGAACGAGCCACAAATCCGGCAAAACAAAATGCTCATAGGTACATTGTCGTCAAGATAGCCGAGATGGTAGTGTCATGCCCTCGTGTGGCGGCAAGTGCAGAGTGGTGCTCGTCATATCTTGGACAAGGCTCGCTGCGCAAGGGTCCTAGCACTCGGTCGCTGCTACATCTGACTCTGCAGTGCTGCAGAGCCTGCACGCCGAACAAATCCACCGACTGCCTAACTTGTACCACTGGTAACCCCTCCTGGGCTCTTGTGTCTGGGGAGCATGGGGTCTCGGAGGAGGCATTCCCAAGTCCCAGAAAGGCCCCCTCGCCGCCGCCGCTGTGGGCGAACAGGGAGACTCGATAGGCTTGTTCAATCCTTTGGAACCCGCTTTGGGGGCCACAGTGAGCCAAAACTGCAGGGCGTCCGAAACAAACCTAAGTACGTGCCTGGCAACTTGCTGGCTCTCTCGGGAGATTCGGTTTCGAGCTGGCTAGGTCGGGGACCCCTGACAACTGCTAACTTCGCCGAACTCCTTCTGGCGCTGGTGGCTTCGGCTGCTGAATGGCATAGATATTGCCGAGAACCGGTGCCGCATCAGCGAGCTTGAGGTTGAGTTCTTGTGGTGGAGCCTGTTGTGGTTTCCGGATCCTTGACGATATAAGCGCCTTCAGCGCCTCCGCCATTGTCCCCTTGTTTGTGATTGCTGTCGTCGCCGTCTGTGTTACCACCCGCAGTTGCGCCTCCAACCTCTGGGCATCCTCCATGGGCTCGTGGTAGTCGCTTATTGCTTTGACCTGCTTGGGAGCAGCTGCTCTACTTGCTGGCTGTAGCTGTCGATATGGGTCTTCTGGGCGGCCATCTCCCTCTTCTTGTGAGCCAAATGGCCCTTGGTTGACTGGGCCTGCTGATCTGGGGGCGTGTCCGCCAACGCGATTTGCTGGGCCCGCTCGAGGGCCTCGATAACATCCGTGTGCATTGCGTTCGCCTCGTGCTCCTCCTTTGGCGGCGGGGGGTTGGTTCGGAGGCCTTGTTCTTGGTGTCCACCAGCTTAGTGCCACACTTGGTGCAGTGACTGGCTCCTTGATCTGCCCAAGCCCAGCCGCAACAGCTAGACTTGGGGCACGCCCTGTACTTCCGAGCCACCATCGCGTCGCCGCTATCGTGAACACTACCTGACAGAGTGCGAGATAGCCCCTTGGGCACGAGATGGCTGTGGGCGTCCACAGCTTGGCCGCAATGCTGGTCGAGGTGGTTGGCCTATGGAAGGGGCTGCCCTTCCACCTCAGCCTCGGACCTCTGGAGTCGGGACGGGAGGTCAGCTCTGGCTTGAGCCAAAGTGGCTACGGAAGGAGAGGCATGGAGGGAGGAGAGGCAGGAGGGAGGGATGGGGGGGGGCAGGAATAGGGAGGCAGCAAGGGAGTGGAGGGCGGGAGGCAGGAGAGAGCACGAGGGAGGCAGGAGGGCGGGAGGGAGAGGAGGCAGGAGGGAGGAGACAGGAGAAGGGAGGAGGGGAGGTAGGAGGGAGCACGAGGGAGGAGGGGGGAGGTTATTGCGGAGTGACGGCCATTGCGATCGTGCTGATATGCAAGTGGGCCGAAAAAGGTCTTCCCTGCTGCCTCACATGATGGTAAAGGACACGCTCATGGTGAAGACCTGAACACTTATGCTTCATGGCCCGTGCTCGGCAAGGGAGTAGTCCTTACGATTACCTGTGGCAGAGCACAACAACGTGCTCCTAGTTTAGCTAGCTGCCGAACTGCAGAACTCCCTGCGAGAGCTGCAAAACGTAATCCCCGGCCCAGCGTGACACTTCAAAAGACGGCTCCAAGTTTCCTGTAAAAGCCCAGCAGATATTCGCCCGACGCACAGTTCGACTGCATGCTGGGCTACAGCTTCTGTGACAAAAGGGTGCAAAGGGTACACGGCAATAGCAAAGAGCGACTGACGCAACGATCTGCCAACCTACCTGCCATAAACCCACTTGTTCTGCCACAAACCTGCTTGGTGCCAAGACCACCCGTTCTGTCACAAACACCGGAACTGGGTGCCCTATGACGGCCGCTGTTGGTTAACTTTGACGTGACCCCTGCTGCTCCCTCCCACGCCTCACGGCCTCCCTCTTCTTCCAACTCTCCTCCTGGGGTCCCTCGAACATGCGAGAGCGGCCCGAACCAAATCGGTCGCGGAAGAGGCGCCCAAGAAGAGTGCCGCCCTCACTGGAAATGGAGGGCCGCGAGGACGTCCTTGTTCGAGGCAGCGCTTCACGCGCTGTATGGGGCGGTGGAGTCTCCTTGGCCGCAGAATCCTGTAGTGTCCCTCCTGCTCTCCTCTCCCTCCCACCGTCTCCCTTCTCCCCCGCCTCCCCCATCCCCTCCTCCTGGTCCTCCGCCCTGGCAGGGGGGGACGAGAAGGAGAGGGGGAGCAATAAGGGGAGGGGGGAGTGGGAGGAGGGGGAGGAGAGGGTGGGGAGGGCGGTGGAGGGAAGAGAGACTTCAACTTCGACGTCGACGACAACAATGACGACGACAAAGATTTCGACTTCGACTTTGACGACGACGTGGACGACGACGACGACGACGACAACGACACGGACGACGACGACGAAGACGACGTCGACGACGACGACGTCGACGACGACGCGACGACGAAGACGACGACCGACGACGATGACGGCGGACGACGACGACGATGAAGACGAGGACGGACGACGCACGACGAACAACGAACGACGAGCGACGTGGACGAACGACAAAACGAATGATGAACGACGAACGACGAAGGACGAACGAGGAACGACGACGACGAAGACAACGACGACGACAACAGAGGACGGAGGACGACGACGACGACGAAAACAAAAACGACGACGGCGAAGACGACGACGACCAGAGGGCCCGGTCGGCGGCGGCCTAAGCTCGGCCTCGCTTCTCACCTTCTCCCGGGCCATGGCGAGCCGAATGGCGCGGCCTGGAAGGGAGGGGAGGGGTCGAGGGGGAACGATCGAGAGAGGCGAGGTGTCGAGCGGGAGGGGTTGAGCAGGAGGGGAGGGGAGGGGTCGAGGGCGAGGGGAGAAGAGGTCGAGGGGGGGGAGGGTCGAGGGGGGAGGGCAGGGGAGGGGTCGAGAGGAATGGATCGAGGGGGGGGGGACCGAGGGGAAGGAGAGGGGAGGAGTCGACCGGGAGGGGCCGCGGAGGAGGAAAAGGGTGGAGGGCACAGGGAGGCGGGGGGAGGAATGACAGGAGGGGAGGGGGGGCGGGGAGAGGGAGGGTTGGGAGGGAGGAGGGGAGATGGGGGGGATATGGACGGAACGGAGGGGGAACAGAGGGGGGGGACTGCGTATTTGGAATGCGTGTAGCAGGGGGCCCCTGGGGGCAAGTCCACCCCGTTGCGAGCGCCAACCACCCTGGAGGGCCTCTGGGCCAGGGCAAAAGGGTGGCGGATGGAATCCCGAAGGGGCGCCCCGGAGGACTGCCCCTTGGGGCTTGGCCCGATTGGGGGAAGGGATCGCGAGTCTTGAAAGTCGACGTCTCGGTGATGAATGGGGGAAGAGGGCGGAGAGGCGGGTGGAGAGGGGAGGTTCAAGGGTCGAGGGTTGCGGACTGAGATTCTTGATGCTTCTGGTCCTCTTTGCCTTTACGTTTCCCGTTGGCCAAAGAGCCTTCTGAAGGACCTCCAGAGCCTTCAGAGACTTCCACAAGATGATCTCGGTGATGCAAGTGTGAAACCACAGAGCTAGTGTCATGCACTGTGAAATCCAAACGAGGTTACGCGCGGGAGATACAGAGGAAGACACTGGCGTGGGGGTCTGGATTTGGACGTGTCTGCCTCGCGCGAGGGGGTCTGATCGCGGATGTCTGTGGGCTTGTGGTGGGGGTCGACATCTGCTCTGCCAAACGCAGAGTAGTAATATCTAGGAGTGCACGTTTTCACCAGCCGACCTCCTTCTCCTCCTCCTTCTCCTCCTCCTCCTCCTCCTCCTCCTCCTCCTCCTCGACCCGCCTCTTCACCCCTGCTGCTATCTGGGTGCTCTGCTGGGCTAATTCCTTTTCGCCCCCACTGTGCGGAGGAGTACCTGAGGGCAGGCGAGCCTAACATCGAATCGATAAATCGGACCTGCGATCAAAATGAATCGGATCGGCCGAAATCGGCAGCCGAGTCAGGAGAAGTCGGATCGCAAGATATCGGCGGGCCAGTACGGCCTCCAGTGAGAAATCGGAGCCCGAATCAGAATCCGAAGTCGAATCGACTCGGAATCGGACGCCGTCGAAATCGAATCAAACCGACTCATATCGGAAGGATCGAAACGAGCCCTCCGTGGGACTTGCGGCGGGCCTACGGAGGACGGCACCTCATTCGACGCCTGCTTCCTGGCCTCGGCGCGGCCAGTCGAGGGCGCGGGCGCGGGCGCGCGCCCGCCGCCGCCGCCGCCACGGGGCTTCGTCGCCGCCGCCGCCGTCGCTGCCGTGATCATCGGCGTCGTCGCTGCGGCCGCCACGACCACCGCCATCGGCCGCCGCCGCCGCCTGTCGCCGCCGCAGGCGTCGTCGTTGTCGCGGCCGCCGTCGTCGTAGTCGCGGCCGCCGCCGCTAACGCGGTCGCCGCCGCCGACGTGGCCGTCCAGGGCGCTTGCTTCATCGTCGATGCCTGTGCACGCAACAGCGCTACGTTTGCTGGGTTCGCAATCCTGATTCGCAGCGATCTTGGACTACGGCCACCACATGACCAAGAGCACAGAGTGATGGCCCACCGATGTCAACATGTACTTGTGGATCTCCATGGGTGGCCTGCTCTGCATGTGATAAACGCATGCCTCAAAGACTCCACCGGCGCGGCGGGGATCAACGGCGACCTCCTCGCGAATTTCGGCGTGCTCTTCTGTAGTATCCAGGCCCCTTGCCTGGCAGGTGCCGATTGGAACATCCAGGGTAAAGAGCAAGAGGCTTCGCATTTCCCACGCGTGGCAAAAATCACGATGGCGGTGCCAAAGCAGATGACGTGTAGAGGAGGACTGTGTCTACTACGATAGGTTATCTTGCGCTCGATGATCAGGCACTACGTGGATTCAGAGGAGTCTATGCTGATATGCAATGGAACCACCGTCCTCATAGACCTGTGCTGCTTCAGATGGTAGATAGCGGCAAGAAGATCAAGCACTTTATCTACACTGTCACTCCTGCCCTGACAGTGGAACCGATCAGAGGGCCTCTACACCAGGAACCTGATATGTCAAGTCACGGGGCGCTGGGGCAACCATGCATGGATATGGCGGGTGATGATGCCAGTGAAATTGCAGTGGCATGGGCCGTGTTGCCTCGTGTTTGGGATTAGTTTGCTGTCATTGCTCCCAAGGAGGTAACACATGCGACGGGCACTGATCTACCTAGCGCCAATGCTTTTGGACGCAATCTACAGCGGCGATGAGTTGATGTGGCCTACACCAAGAGCCCGGACATGATGACGAAGGCAATCGCTGAAGGTTGGCAATGGATGGCGACCAATATTTCTACGATTCTGCACATGTCGGGCGTTGCCAGAACTGGGATTCGTGGGACCTGGTTTAGTGATGTGTACTGGCGGACGCCCCCCCCGCCCCGTTCCAGTAACCGGAACTGCCGTCACCCGAAAGACACCAGCTACAACAAACCTTGTTGAGTGATTCTGGCCAATTCACGGACTCCGGGCCCTACTACTAACCGGGTCCCCTTACCTGGGGTCCTGGCTAAACCCGAACATGTTGCGCGAGACGGAGGATCTGGAGCAATGTTCTGAGGAGAACCCCAATGTCCTTACCATTCAGCACCGCGGTCAAGGACTGAGTGGGCGTTTGGATGCCACGGTGACAAACGCGCGCGACGAAGTTGGCAAAATTCCGATGATCACGGGTGCCTTGGAGCATGTTCTGGATGAAGTATCGGATAATGTAGAGTTGCTCAGAAAGCGATGCTCAGGGATGCCAGCGAGTCTTGGGCCAGCTGCCCTCTAGAAACGGCCGTCAAAAGAGCTCGAGGACTGCACAGGGTAACCTGATGGAATCGATGCCTGCTTCTGTCGTTTCTCAAGGTCGAGTGGGGTCTGGTGGCCCAATCCAAATCGTTCAAGCTGAAGTTGATGCATATCGACAGCTCTGGAGAGCGCCTGACGCTGCCCCTCGTGCCTGGGCGCCTGATCGCAACTCATGTCCAGGGCTGACGCCTGATTAGATCCGCCCCATTGTGAAAAACGTGCCTAAGGGACGGGCCTCGTCATTTGAACATGTCCACCCTCCCCGCGCGTCGTCCCTGGACGACTCTGGACTGGAAGTGCTGAATCTGATATGGGAAGCACCTGAGGCGATGCGTCTTCTGCCAAAACTCCTGCGCTGGATACAGATACCCACGTTGGGCAAGCCGTCATGAGGCAATCGTTCAATCAGTCTGCATGCTGGAGTGTACCGCATTTGGCAAAGGGCGAGAAGATCAGCGGCGCGATAGATTGTCTCGATCGCAAGTTCTGAGGGGGCCTTGCAGTAGACTGCGCGCGGCTGCAAGCTGCCCGAACTGACCCAGATTGCGCACATTATGTACCTGTGCTGCTGTGGGTGTTCGGCTGGCCGAAATACTACGTGTCTATTCCGCTGCCAGAACTGAAGTGGCAACGCCTTCGCGTGCGTGGGAAAGCCGATTTGCTGACGGAAGTTCGTCTACAACACATGGCGCGCTCCGCGAGTGATTCGCAATGGAAGACACCGCGCTGTTCAACCGCTGCATGCAAAGGATGGCCTGCCTGCGGGCGATGGACACGCTGGCTGTGCAATCAACATCCACTCTGTTTTTGAGATCAACACCTTTTTGGTGCAATGCCCGACTGTGGACTTCAACAACTAAATCGACGACTGTGCCGTTGGCAACGCATCACCTGGCTTTGAAATCAAAGGGCACGGCGGTGCAGGCCGTGACTGAATTTCGTCGCATGTCTGAGGCGACCAGATGCAAGCTGAACTAAGACAAGGCATCGCTCCTGGCGTCGCCCAAGGAGCTCAGGATTGCAGGTTGCAACGAGCTCGGCAACAACAGCTCGGTTCTGAAGGGTAGCGACACGTACCTGGGGTGTCGACGAGACTGCAGGTGCGCGGGGATCCGCGCGGCGGGCTCGACCAAAGCAGAAGGGTCGGCGTTCGGCAAGGCAGCGTAGACGTCGGACAACGAAACGGTTCGTTCGGGGAGCTTTTCGGGGATGTAAAAAAGGCGCCCCCTTTTCCAAGGCTTTTAGAACAAGACTTTCGCCTACCAACAGTTTTTATGGATGTGGTCGCCGGCTTCAGCCTGGGCGACTGGGGATCTCATCAGAGAAGCCATAGCTGCGCCACCTCCCCTGCAAATGGCGAGCGCCTCTTTGCGCAAAACTACTGCTAGTTGGGGACAAGGGTTTACATTAGCAGTAGCACCAACGATCCAGGTGTGTAGCCTCCACCCAGCCCATGAGAGCACTCGTCAGTTGGTCTGAGCTCCTTCGCCTCTGGGATCTGGCCCGACGTTTGGAGGCTGGCCCTTGGAGCTCATCTCGTGGCCCCCACTGCTCGCGCGGTACTAGTGCTATCGCGGGCGGGTTGGAAGCTGGAGGGGCCCCTGGATTGGATGGGCCACAACGGTTTAAAGGTTCAAGTCGATCAGACCCATCCAGCGCTCCTGGCTGATCAGCTAGAACAAGGAATACATACAGCGCGTGACATGGCGCTAGCAGTAAAACTCGGATATCTCCTTGGGCACAGGGCCACCTTGGAACTCAGTAGATCCCGCTTGGGGCCACAGGCTCGAGGGCTGAGTGGGAAAGCGAAGTTGTTTCATTCGGACCTGTGGGCGCAATTGAGCGTGGACCGAAAAGAGGGGTCGGTTGGCGGGTTACTCGACGGACGGGCGACGTCCTCTTGGGAAGGTCGACACACTCTACCACAGGCTTTATGCTTGTGCGCGACAGGACAGGAAGTCTTAGCAGCCCGAGAAGAGGCCGTGGTACCTCCTGAATTCATTGCTGCGGCTCTCGAGGAGCCCACGCTTGAGATGCTCACCCGCGGAACTTTTGTTTATCCAGGCAGTGAGATGCCAAAACCGTCTTCTCGGTCGGAGGTTGGGCTTCTTGGCCTTCCGGGCAGCCGGCTGGATCGGGATCCTGAAAAACTGGCTGAGCTCTCCACGGAAGAGATTGTGAGGCTTGTGTCGGACGGATCTTGCTCTGAGCCTCCCCTCCGTGCGCTACAGAGGGCTGCATGGTCGATCGCTGCCTGCGGGTGGTTCGGCCCCCGAGCCCGTTGCTGTGATGCGTGGAGTGGTCCACGGGACCCTTCCCCAGACGCCAGCGATGTCGCGACACGTCGGCATAGCGCTGCGCGGCCAGATGGCAAACAAACAGCTTGTGCTTGCAGCAGGTTGCACGCCGGCGATCAAAATCGCGCAGCAGAGTGTAGAGAAGCAACAGGAAGCGAACAACAAGTTCGCTGAAATCCGTTTGTTTGTGCAGTCTCTCGGGGGCACCGAATTGATACAGCAGGCGGGCCACATCAAGGCCCATCGAACTCAGGAAGAGATACAGGCTGCCGAACAGACTGAAGGAGGAGTTTGCAGTTGCGAAAGCGGTCGTAGATTATCATGCTAAGCAGGCGGTAGACGACACCAGCAGGCCGCTCACAAGTATCTCCAGGAAATTGATCTCGCTGAACAGAGAGCTGGACGTTCCGTAAGTTAGCTGCCCACATCCTCCCCCTGTTTGATGTATCTCCCAAGTGGCTCAGTAATGATATGCGCCGCAGAACCAGAAGACTCAGCCAGAGTTGGCAGGAATGGGAACAAACCCCCGATGTTGGTCTATGCTGCAGGCGCTGCCTCAGGCTCGAAGGGGGATCCGTCAGCGTGCAGTTCGACTGGTTGTTACCTAGGAGTCACCACTGGCATTCAGAGACTTCTCACGGACCCCATGGGGAACCTCGTGGTCACGGCTGGGATGCAGCTCGAGGGTCCTGACTTCGCGCAGGTGTTGTGCGGTAGGGACCATGAGAAGCGGTGCTGGATCTGTTTGAAGTGTGGGAGATGGTCCCAAGGCCGAACAAATAAATTGGCACGCCATTGTTTAAGGCCTGGTGAAGGCCCCACTAAAGGTGGCCAAGAAATTTTGAACCGCTACCTCCAGGGTGAGCCGCCAAACCGCAAAACTAGGGCGTTCCTGAGCCGTAGTCTGGTCATTCTTAGGGCTCCCTCCTCGATTGAGCAGTCCCCCATCGGAGTCGGTCCCTGGCTTTACGGTGGTCACAACTTCGTTCTCGGCCTCAGGGAGTGCCCCAACATATGAGCATCGTGTGGCTGAATGTATACAGAGAATTCGCAGGAAAAGGATGCCATGCCA